CTGCATGTGGAATCATGCATTGGTTGTATGGTGGAAGCATTGTGTTGCACGGCAGATACTAAATGCACAACTGAATGAACACTGAACGCACAGCCCAGTGCTCCTATGCAGCAGCACTTCACGCTCAACTGTGCTTCTGCAATTTTTTGAATGTGTCTAGAAAGGAATGTCCAGGTACTTCTACAGGAATGCTTTCTCATAAGAGTCTCCCCAACAAGACTCCGGTCAAGAACTTTCCCAAGCTGTGCTCCTTTTCCAGTATCACTCCTTCCCTCCCCTTCCTGACCAGTCCTAAAACAGGGAATGCCTATGGGCCACTCCATCAGACAGACAAAGGGAGCATCCAGCTGCAAATTGGAAAAGCTCAGTGGGAGGGGGAACAAAGGAGAGAAGCTTCTTTTATAGTTTATGTTTTGCTGGACAATTAATTTGCCCGTCGCCCGGATAAATAGCAGAGGAGCGTTGCCGCCTGGAGCAGCCCTGAAGTGTGTGGATGGGCTGCGCTGGGTTTGCATTTTCAATTGCAAAATCACGCCGTGTTGATCATGCAAGTGGAAAAATCCTATTTGTCACCTGCTGTTGAGGCAATAATACATCTGCAGGTTCGAGGAGGAGGAAAAGAGGGGGAGTGGGAAGAGAGGTATGGCCAGAAGTGAGCTGGGGTTAGGAGGGCAAGAAGACAAAGCTGGGAGCAAAACGACGCTGTTGGAGGATTTGTTCTAGGCCAAGGAAAGCAGGTCATCTTGAAAAAGAGGGACTGCAAATGATCCATGCCATATCCTTGTTTCCTTTTGGTGGTGGTAGTTTTGGTTTTTGTCATGTGTTTCTAGGGATCAGAGATGTGGCAGAACACTTTCTGCGGAATCTGGTTTGATCATTTCGTTGTGACCTCTTGCATAGCTGGAATCCTGATAAGCAGCATCAGGGGGTTTGGGGTTTTTAGACTGTATTGATGTAATTTTTAACTGCTGTAAGCCGCCCCGATTGTTTTAACAGAGGGGCGAGGTATAAATATATTATTATTATTATTATTATTATTATTATTATTATTATTATTATTATTATTATTATTATTATTATTAATTATTATTAATAATTATTATTATTATCATCATCCTTCAGGAAGGATCTTGAGAAGCTGGAGTGTGTCCAGAGGAGGGCAGCCAAAATGGTGAAGGGTCTGGAAACCATGAATCCCTATGAGGAATGACTTAGGGAGCTGGTTATGTTTAGCCTGGAGAAGAGAAGGTTAAGAGGTGATATGATAGCCCTGTTTAAGTATTTGAAGGGGTGTCATATTGAGGAGGGAGCAAGCTTATTTTCTTCTTCTTCAGAGAATATGACACAGAGCAATGGGTTCAAACTATAGGAAGGTGGTTCCATCT